AAATTTTTGTTATATATGATCCATACAGATTCGCTTCCATGTTTAAAACTGTTTTAGAAACCAACAACAAGAACTTTCTTGCTTTTACGACTCTGTTCCTATTGGTTTTGATCCTGATCTTCAAGTTCTACTCCAATCTTGGCCCCAAATTCTTTTGCCTCAGCTATAGCTTTTATCATGATTAGTTCTAAAATTAAAGCTATACTGAAAGCTAATTATACAAATTGGTTCAAGCAGTTTCAAGAAGACTGTATTAAATCCACTGATATTAAAGTTTGTCAGTCTTATGAATTTGGACTGAATCAAGCTACACTTCCAATTGAAGAGCGTCACTATGCTTTTCCGCAGAATTTCGGGCCTGTTTGTTTCTGTTTTTGTTTCCATTTTTTACTGTTTTCAAAAATAAAAATTGAAAACGCGTTTGGTGTAAAATTTTCTAAAATCAAAACTGAAAACACCGTTTTCATTCTCTTTTTTTCTCATGTTTCTGAAAACGAATTTTTTCCATTTTCATTTTCCACTCTTCTGCCACTGCCCATTATTTATTTAATATATTATTATTTTAAATATTATTACATGTTTTTAAAAATTAAACCACCAAACACAATTTTAATTTTTTTAAAACTGAAAACAAATTCGGAATAAAACTACCAAACGCATTTTCAGAAATGATTCTAAAATGAAAATGAAAACTTTTTTGTTTTTATTTTCATACCAAAAATAAAAACGTTTTGGAACGAATTCCAAACGCACCCTTCATTTCTATACTTTTCTCTTCTAATTTTCCCTCCTCCATAGTACTTAGCATTTCTGTAAAGATTTCATAAGCACAATAATCACTTCTATTTACTTCTATTTACCTGGTCCTACTTTGTTGTTTTGTTTCTTTACCTGCATTGCTTGTTTCATCTGATGTGCCTTTCCTGCCAATATTTCAAATTTAATTTATGCAAGATTTGATTAAAAATTCCTAATCTCAAAACGTCACCCTTTGCGCGTTCTTTTAATGTTTGCTAGCTTCTTCTTTTTTTTTTTTTTTGAAACTAATGTTTTCTAACTTTTCATGTTCCATTATCTTAAAATTTTAAAAGTAACTTCCTTTTTTAAACTTTAAATATGTCCGGTTTTAAATTTAAAATATTTAAAAACAGTTATTAATAACTTTTCATCGAGTTTTTTTTTCTCAAAATCCACTTTACTCATTCAGTCTTCTTCTCGTAAACTCATTATGAATTAGGTTGAGGTGTCGGCTGGTGGGTTCAAGATTACATAAAAAATGCTCAATATAGACTCTTTATTAAGATTTATATGCAATTTTTAAAATATTTTCACTAATCGTTTGTGAGGAATTAAACTGAAATAGAATTTGGGATTTTGCAAGATGAGGAATTCATAAAATTTGGGCGAATTATGAAGAAAACGAGAAGAAAAAGATTTGGAAATTTAATTAGAAAATTACACGCCACATGCTTCATAGACCGTAGGCAGCCTCATCTCACGTCTCTTTCCAGCTACTCCACTTTACGCCAGTCAGTCTCCTTATCATCACGCTTTGGTCTTTCATTTTTGTTAATTCTTTCCCTCTAAAATCTATTTTCTGAAAGTAGGAGGAGGTTAGTTGTTTATCATCCGTTGCGGCAGGTTGCATCTAAATTATTTTATCTTTCAGGTGTGTTTAGTTGGGCGGAAAGAAATAAAATAGAATAAAATAAAATTATAATTTAATATTTGGTTGGATTTATAAAAAAAAAAATCATTCAAAAGGAATTATTATTTATCCATTTTGAGTGAATCATCATTCTTTCCTCATATGGGAAGAATAGTCATTCTAAATTCTTTTATTTATTTTTTTTTCATAATTACCATTTAATATTATAATATAATTAAAATATATAATATAGTAGTTATATCTTATAATATAATATAATATAT